TCTCTCTCTCTCTCTCTCTCTCTCTCTCCTTTATGACATTGAACGGGGGAGGGGGGAGGAGTAGGAAAGATGGCTCGAGAGGCTCCATCGGATTTTATTATAAACGCGAGGCATCGAGGTTCGAGGGCCTGAAAGCGTAGACGTAAACTGTGCTGGGGGACGCGGGTGGGGAGGGGAGAGAGAGGTTCTGCCCGATGAAACGCGACGAGAGAGCGGTAATTAAAACGATGATGCGGCGGCGTTGCGTGCCCTCCACGAGGGAGTTAATTACCTCAGCCTTCGATTATATCCGTCTCGCGTCACTCCAAGGGGACTTTGCCTTCGCTCCTCCCGCCGAGGAGAAGTAAGTAAACGCGGACCGCGGCGTGCATCCCGCCGCGATCGACGAGGCACAAGGAGAGAGCGCGCGCTCCGATTTCCGCCCCGGATAAGGGGGAGGGGAGGGGAGAGATTAGATTCATTTTGGAATATTGGTAATTATTGGAAATCGTTGTAGATTAGATTTTGGTTACGGTTCTTTCGATGTGCAGGGAGAATTAGAAGTAAATATTGAGATTAATTAAAAATTTCGAATATGATTTTTGATTAGTTATTGAAATGGTTAAATAACATTTGTTATTATAAATAGTTATTACAATTGATTCGCTTTAATAATCGTTTTGTTACAATTATTTCCAATTATTATTGCGTTTTGATAAATTATCGAACTTTATTTTCGTAACTAAATTAAATTTTCTCCAATGGAATAATCTTTTTCTTTAATATTGGTAATTATTGGAAATGTTGTAGATTGTAGTATTGTAGTTGTAGATTAGATTTTGGTTGTACGGTTCTTTCAATGTGCAGGGAGAATTAGAAGTAAATATTGAGATTAATTAAAAATTTCGAATATTTTTTTATTAGTTATTGAAATGGTTAAATTTGTTATTATAAATAATTATTATAGTTGATCTTTAATAATCGTTTTGGCGTTACAATTATTATTGCGTTTTGATAAATTATCGAACTTTATTTTCGTAACTAAATTAAATTTTCTCCAATGGAATACTCTTTTTCTTTAATATTGGTAATTATTGGAAATCGTTGTAGATTAGATTTTGGTTGTGATTATTATAAATAGTTATAAGATAATAGTTACAGTTGATCTTTAATAATCGTTTTGGCGTTACAATTATATCCAATTATTATTGCGTTTTGATAAATTATCGAACTTTATTTTCGTAACTAAATTAAATTTTCTCCAATGGAATACTATTTTTCTTTAATATTGGTAATTATTGGAAATCGTTGTAGATTAGATTTTGGTTGTAGTTACGGTTCTTTCGATGTGCAGAGAGAATTAGAAATAAATATTGAAATTAATTAAAAATTTCGAATATTTTTCATTAGTTATTGAAATGGTTAAATTTGTTATTATAAATAATTATTATAGTTGATCTTTAATAATCGTTTTGGCGTTACAATTATTATTGCGTTTTGATAAATTATCGAACTTTATTTTCGTAACTAAATTAAATTTTCTCCAATCAATGGAATAATCTTTTTCTTTAATATTGATAATTATTGGAAATCGTTGTAGATTAAATTTTGGTTATACGATTCTTTCAATGTGCAGGGAAAATTAGAAGTAAATATTGAGATTAATTAAAACTTTCGAATATGATTTTTGATTATCGAACTTTATTTTCGTAACTAAATTAAATTTTCTCCAATCAATAATCTTTTTCTTTAATATTGGTAATTATTGGAAATCGTTGTAGATTAGATTTTGGTTGTTTCGATGTGCAGGGAGAATTAGAAATAAATATTGAGATTAATTAAAACTTTCGAATATGATTTTTGATTATCGAACTTTATTTTCGTAACTAAATTAAATTTTCCCCAATCAATGGAATAATCTTTTCGAACGAGGAGATTTTTGGAATTTTTAAGAATATCATAGCTTTATTAATCTCGTAAAAAAAAAAAAAAAAAAAAAGAAGAATAGCTGAGGTACGAATTACACGTCGATCCCGTACTCCACGCGCCGCTTTCAAAATCACATTTGAGACTTGAGATCACTCCGCTTCCGTTTGGGCTTAATTTAGGCTTCGACCCTTCTTCCCAACCTCGCCTCGCTCGAAACCACACGGCCATTACCTACCTAATCGTAAGCTAACCTCCACGTCCGTGAAAACAGAGCCGCATGCACAAAGACTCTTCTCTATGGCGGTTATAATGAAACTCGAGGAAAATGAGAAATAGAAAAACGGTATACATACGTGTCACACGATTTCAAACAACATCGACAAGTGGCACTCGCGATAAAGCGAGCGAACCATTGTGGGATCGATTTCTTATGTTATGGTTATGGATTGTCACTCTTGTTAACTACGAGGGTGACACGGTCGACCGTGGAGAAAAAGGGATATTCGCGATGAATGAAGTGAAAAAGAAAAAAAAGAAGAAGAAAAAAGAGAGAGAGGAAGGAAGGAGGAGGAGGAGGAGAGAGAGAGAAAAGAACGGCCAAACAGTCAGGACACTCGATGTCACAGCGGGATTGTCGTTTGACTGGCACTCCCGTTCTTTCGAACGTCGCCTTTGTCGCGGAAAGAGCCTTCCTTGCCGCAACGACTTCTCTCTCATTGTGTCGTCGCTCGTGACGTCGAGTGACTCCTCGACGTGACCGCTTTTGTGCGTGTCGTTGCGTCGCGTTAAGACGAAACAAATCCATTTCATCCGTTTCCTTTGATTTTGGATCTGGGAAAGTAGATCCGCGTGAATGCGAGCAAAATATTTCTCGAACCGAGAAATCTTTCTGAGTATTTTAACCCGATCATTAATTCGATATCAAAAATCGAAGGTGGTATCGATAATTAAGTAGTAGAAAATAATTGTGTCAATCGTGGTAGAATAGAAAATTTCATTATTATTCTATCGAGAATGTATCAATCTCGAATATCTGTGTCAAATTAAAATCTTTAATAAAAGTATCCAAGTATCTCCTATTTTCAAAATTACATCTTCCATTTTATCTGAGATATTTACAGATATTTAAAAATTCAAAAGTCGATCAAAATCTATAATAAAATTATTTAGATCACCACTTTCGAAATCTTCGATATTTATTTAAATCAAAAGTATTCGGATCATTATTTTCGAAATTACGAGATATTTATAGTCAAAAATCCAAAATTCGATCAAAGCCTATAATAAAAGTATCCAGATCGCTATTTTCAAAATTACATCTTCCATTTTATCTGAGATATTTACAGGCAAAAATTCAAAAGTCGATCAAAATCTATAATAAAATTATTTAGATCACCACTTTCGAAATCTTCGATATTTATTTAAATCAAAAGTATTCGGATCATTATTTTCGAAATTACGAGATATTTATAGTCAAAAATCCAAAAGTCGATCAAAGTGACCGTAATATAATTATTTAGATCACCATTTTTGAAATTACATCTTCGATATTTATTTAAGGAAAATCGAAAAGTATTCAGATCATTATTTTCAAAATTACACATTCGATATTTAAGGAAAATCGAAAAGTATCCAGTATCACTATTTTCGAAATTATATCTTCCACTTTATCGAGATATTTACAGGCAAAAATTCAAAAGTCGATCAAAGCTTATAATAAAATTATTTAAATCACCATTTTCGAAATTACATCTTCGATATTTATTTAAGAAAAATCGAAAAGTATCCAGTATCACTATTTTCGAAATTACATCTTCGATATTTAAGGAAAATCAAAAAGAGTCCAGATCACTATTTTTAAAATTACATCTTCGATATTTAAGGAAAATCGAAAAGTATCCAGATCACTATTCTCAAAATAACATCTTAATATTATTATATTAAGATGTTTAAGATGATTATTATATTAAGATATTTAAAGAAAATCGAAAAGTATCCAGATCACTATTTTCGAAATTATATCTTCGATATTTAAGAAAAATCAAATCCAGTATCACTATTTTCGAAATTACATCTTCGATATTTAAGGAAAATCGAAAAGCATCCAATATCACCATTTTCAAAATTTTCAAAATAACATCTTCGATATTTACCTACTCGAGGAAAATGAAAAAGTATCCAGTTGATCGTGTTCGATATATTTATACGCAAAAGTCGATATAAGGATAGAATTAAAAGGAAGGAGAAGGTGGAGGATGTCGGGGGACATGGAAGGACGAGAGAGAGTACACGTCTGTTTCGTGTTTGGAACGCGTTGGTGATAGCCGTGGTGCGCGCACCGAGGGGGATGACAGTGACTCCGCTCGTGGGTCCGAGACGTCACCTCGCTTCAACGCTGCGGTACCCTGACACCGGCTCTAACAAACCTCGGGGAAACGAAAATCTCCCATGGCCAATCTCCCACAACTTGCCGCGTAATCCTTGGACGCCCGCGACCTCTCTCCTCCCCCCAGAATATTTTCGGATATTCTCGTCTGCTGGAAAATATTTAACAATCCTCGTTCCAATTTTTCCTTTCGCTTCTGCTCCTTCCATTTCTATCGAAAAAAAAATATATCTTTTTATCACGCCGATTTATTTACAAGTCGAGTGAAATAGTCGAAAAATTCGACGAGAAGGGAAATTTTAACGCGCATCTTTCCTTCTCTATTGTGACATTCTAAACCTTCACGCATCAACGTTAGAATAAAGACTATTCTAAATATTTTCTCATATATATATATATATATACTCTCGTTAAAAGCAATTACCTTATATATATATATATT